ACTTTGAAGGAAGCACGCAAATAACATGAAAATTACAACATGCATTAGCGGAGGAAAGATATGCAAATTATTAAAATTTCAGCTCAGACACACATCACGCACGCCTGTGGCGCCACCTCAAAGCGCTATTTAAGGCTTGGAGATTTCGACGATTTCAAGTTTGGCAATTGTGTTTTTTTCAAAAAACGATCAGTTATGTCTCGTAGAAAACAGCGATCAGCTTTTGATAAAGTATCCGAGTTCGAGAGAGGAAGGATAGTGGCCTACCCAGATTGTGGATTATCTTTCAGTGAAATCGGTAGTCGTGTTGGACGAAACCAAACAACTGTAATGCGGATATGTGACCGTTGGATGCAGGAGGGTACGATGGACTGACGTGGTCTATCGCATCCACCTCAGTAGATTACTTCACGTGAGGACAGGCAAATTGTGCGCATGGCAGTGACGGATCACTCAGTCACATCTCCAACCATAGCACAGCATATTGAGTCTGTAATGCATCATTCAGTGTCTGCGCGTACCATTCGACGCCGTTTACAGATGAGTGGTATGTCCGCAAGACGTCCTTTGCTTGGTCTACCCTTGACGCAGAACCACAGACGTTTCCGCCACCAATGGTGCGATGAAAGAAGGATGTGGGCGGCAGAATGGAAAGAATTTGTCTTTACTGACGAGTCACACATCATTCTGCAACACCACGATGGTCGGATACAAGTCTAGAGACACCGTGGAGAGAGGATGCTAAACGTTATGCACAGCCACACTGGCCCTGCACCGGGTATTATGGTATGGAGCGGCATTGGATATCACTCTCGTACACCTCTAAAACGCATCGCCGGTACTTTAAACAACCAGCGCTACACCTCCGAGACGTAGCACGCATTGTCCAAAGGTTCTTCGTCAATCACCAGATAGAATTGCTTGCCTGACCGGATTGCTCTCCGGATCTTTCACCAATAGAAAACATGTGGTACATGGTTGCTGAACGATTGACCCAGATTACATCCCCAGCTGCCACACCAGATCAACTTTGGCAACGTGGGGAAGCTGCTTGGTCTGCTGTACTCCAAGAACACATCCAAAGTCTCTTTGAATCAATGGCGAGGCGTGTGGCAGCGGTGATCTCCAACAATGGCGGCTGCTCTGGCTGTTGATTCTGGCAGGAACCACACTTCACAGAAGTCTATAAATTTAATCCTTTGATACTTGGTCAACATGTTATCTACAAAATAAATTTTGTTGTGCTATATCTTGTCTTTCTTGGTGTTGCATTTATGGAGGCCAGCAGTGTACTTTGTATTTTCAAATGAAACTGTTAATTTCGTTGTAACTTCTCCACTGCGCGTATCTCAAAAATTTCAGAGTTACCCTCGTATTATCATTAGATGTTATGAAGACTTAAAATATTAAGGTCTTATTACAAACTTAAAAATTACTAAAAAGAAATACTTTCATCCAAAAAAAGTAATATGCAAAACTCATTTCAAAAGGCCAAACTAAAGACTATCAAAGCAATTTTTTTAAAAAAGGAATTATTTTTTATGAAACTTATTAAAAATCAATAATGAAATCTCACTAATTATTTCAGTGAAAAACAGATATCCTCGTTCTCCTTCTCTTAAAAATTATAACAACAAAAATTTCTTTTCCAAAAATAAAATAAACTTATCTTAAGATAAGTTTTAAGAAAAATATATTCAGTCATATTAGAAAAGAAAATTACTGGTAAAAATGCGTGATTAAAAAATAGAAAGTGAAAGAGATTCCTCATTATCCCCACATTAAATAAATATACTCTCCTGTGTTAGGATTTTTTTAAAATTTAAATTATACTCCTTTTTTTGTTTCATATAAAAAATGTATGCATACTTTTTACATTAAAGATTTTTTTGCAAAAGTTAATTCTTTTATGATGTAGCTTATCAAAAAGCAATTTAGTAATAAAATCTGATTAATATTCATCATACATAATACGGATTTTAACTATAAAAAGTAATTAGTAAAAAAAAAATATTTGAATTGATCGTCAAACGGAAAATTAAGTTTATAAAACTTGCCTGCATGTGTGTATAATTTCCCGAAGATAATAACTTTTTTATTGCACAGTTCTTTATTTTTCTCTTAAACTACGGGGATAAAACATCGAATTAGCAATTTTTCTTCTTTTTATGCATAGAGAAAACTATAATAATTTTTTTTCATAAGTTCGCATTTAAGATTGATTACATCTTAAAAGGGCCATTTGTTCTTGTTTCATTAATAAGAATTTTTCTTATTATTAGCTGGTTTAAATTTAAAGTTATGTTTGTTTGTCCTATAGTAGACGAACTCTCTGAGTTATTCCATTTCATACGACTAAATTTTTGAAATATTTTCAAGTTGTAGTAATTGTATTAATCTAAACATATAAGTATAAAATAATGCGAATAATCTCGCATAAGCAAATAATTTTAATTCTTCTCATGTTCGAAGGTACGGTTTTAATATTTTTTCCTGTAATTTATTTTTTTACAGCTAAATGTGGATATTTTTAAAATATTGGTTTGAATTATATTTCAAATTAAATGGCGTGAAATTTATTTTAAACACTGTATATGCTTTTTAAAATTTTTTATTAAACTTTCTTCGAGTAAATGTTGTAATAAATAATTTGTAAAAAAAGGGTATCTTTTTTCGAAATTTTAAACTTATTTTTGGCTTTCCATTTCGTTAAATAATACCTTAATGTAATCTCAACAATGGTAAGAAAAGCTTACAAACAAAGCCATTTTAATTTAAATGAAACTGTTTCTGACGCAGCTGAAAAAATCTGTGAGAAATGGAGCATAAATCCTCCGCATACAAAAATAAATTATTTTAAATTATAAAAACCACAATTGGTTTAAAAGGAATTCCGCTGTTCAAAACGGATATTGAAACATTATGAAGAAATACTCGTACATAAATATGAAGTATGCGATAAGTAGAGTTGAAAATTGTATGCAAAACTTATTAAATTTGTAATGATACCCAGTCTGTTTCTGTAAACTTCAGTAGTTAGTTCACACCCTATACTCTGTCGACAATGAATTCAGTATAGAGATTATTGAAGTAGAGCAGGAAATGCCTCTGGTAGGCCAGCGAGCTGAATAACTTCAGGTATCCAGAAATTGTGACATACTATTAGCCGAAATACGAGTATGATCTAAAGATATGAAGCTAGATGGACTCATAATTATGTGAGAACCCGACGGAGAAGATATCGATGCCAAAAATGACGACCTTATTGCCTCTGCCTCACAGTTTCTCCGAAGGTACGTCAAGAACCGTTTACCATAGTACAGGATGCTTAAAGTCACTTGCCATCATCAGAGGATCTTCCTAAACTAATTTCCATCGGATATTGTTTTCAAGTGCTTAACGATTTTGAAGAAACCATGGTGGTAGACAGTTTTTGAAGCTTTTTGAGGAATGGCCACCAGTCAGCTCGTATAGGGGATCATCGCACTAGTTCCACAGTAGGCTCCTTGGTCTTCGGTGACATCCCGTAAGAGATCGTGCACATTTCTTGTACATCAGTGCTTCTCAAACTTTGGGGCTCACCCCCTAAGGGGGCGTGAAAACTCTACGAGGGGGACGCGAGCATGTTGAAAAATCGAAAACAAAAGACTACTTAAAAAATTATTAATTTACTGAAAGTAAACAAACAAAATGCATTCTGACAGAATAAATAATAAAATACACATTTACACTGATATAATACATTTATAAATGTATCACTACTGTACAACGTATTTTATAATTAGTTTAACAATACTAAGTTAACAACAAGTTTGATAATTACCAGTGACCCCATGGGTTTATATTAACACTTATCTTGATAAGTTGTACGGTTTACAATTAATCCCTCAACTGCCTATTAAAATTTACATGATTCTCTTCCCAATGCCACCATTTTCCACGTAGACACACTATTGTGATGTTTTCTTCGGAGGGGGGCGGGGGCAAATCCTCTGAAATAAGTAAATCCTTCGCAAACATTGTCAAGGTCTCTTATTGCATTCCAAAGCCTTTGGAATAATTTTATGGATAGCATTGCACAGAGAAAAGAATGTACTTCGGAAAGACGTATATATACGTCCAGAAAATTAATGCTTTGGTTGAGCGAGACGTTTATATACGGTGGTGTCACTTGAAAGGTTAAAGTCGTATTGCAGCTTTAGTGTCAAAGAATAGTATTATTGAATTCGACACATTGTTATTGTCTGAGTGTGTTTAGATACTTCACGCAGTACATAGACAGTTGGAGGAAAGAAATCCTCATTTACTTATTATTAAAAAAATATTCTTATTGCATTTAAAAATAATCATCCTACTACCAAATATGAAATAGAAAATTAATCAGTCAAAATTACTGAGATAACCCTTTTGAACTTAAATCGAAAGCTTAAACAGTGTTGGATAATAACTCGAAATTCTTTAATTTCTATGATTACTTTAAAAAAAGTTCTTACATTTTCCAAAATTTGAATTTAAAAAAGTTCTCAAGTGCTCATAAAGAGTTTTTTTTTATTTACTGCAGTATTTTGCTCTCCAATATTCATGAATTTGATGACCCTATTTGAAATAAAAACATATTCGAATATTCATAACACCCAATAACATTTAAATCTAGAATTACAAAGAATGTTTCCAGTCTTCCAATAACAATAGGCATTCTAAGGCGATTCAACAGCATAAAATAAGATACAGTTGGGTAGGATTCACGTTTCAGATCTTTCTCTTGTGATAAATTTTACTACAGTAAATTATTCTCATGATTTGGTGAACCTCTACGCTATGTTGGAAACTAAGTTGAAATCATTGGAAAACTCTAGATGGATTTTGCTGACGTCCTTAGAGAGCCTTTGTTGAGCCATGTTTAATTTAACTCAGTGGCACAACAGCCCATGAGGGCAAAGGCCTACTGTGCCCAACTCAGTATATGAGACCTTGGGTCCTGAGGTGCAAAAAAGAATGTCCTCCCCGGTGGAGAATTGAAACCCGGTCTCCCACGTGACAAGCGGGGATACTTACCACTACACTACCGAGGACTCAGAGTCATGTTTGCCTAAAAATATTCTGTGTTCGGAAAATACTGACAACGCTACAATCTGGAGATCTCTCAAAATGTTCTGATGCTAAAAATCAGAAATTTCTCAAACGATTAATGTGTTTCTTGCACCATAAAATCGAGTAGGAGAAAATGGTAAATTTAACCCTTGAGCGTTTAAGGGAAAGGTAGTATACTTATTACACTGAACAATAAAAGAATTATTTTAGAAATCTCTGGAGTGGTAATGACGGCCTATTTTGTAAGTACAATTGTTTTTCATGATCGGACTTTTAGAAGCAAGAAAAATTGTGCAATCTGGAGAAAAATCCATTTGAACTTTAGAAATCTTTGACTCCAGTCTTCCAACTAACAGACAACGCGATGCAACATAGGAAATGCGTTTGTTTCAAATGTATTGATTATGGACTGACAAGTAGAAAATGTAGAGTTAAATTAAAATTTTTAAATTGCAGTGTACATAATGTATCTGGACAAGAAATAAGTTATGCTCTTTAAGTTAGTGAAAATACTTTTCCAACCAATCTATTGGAGAAGCTACAGAATTTACACACATTTACAGACAATATACATACAGATTGTAATTCAGGATTAAGCACTTGTTTTTATAATGTTAGAAAGGCTTAAGTATATATTAGATGAAGCACAGAATCATCCTTAAATTTGATAGCTTTATCTAAAAGAAAATATCACATAGAGAACATTTAATGAATGAGAAAATTTGATGGTTATACTGAAATATTCTAAAAATTAGAATTAAAAAAATATCCAGATTTGTGTGTGAACTTGTGTGTTATTAAACAGTAGCAAATGCAATAACATTGGGTCAATTTGTGATATGTCTTCTTAAGAAGAGGAAAGCCTTTGCCAATCTTAATGATTATTTACTAGATTTAATTTGATCCAGTTGTTATCTGATGTTCTAGTTAGGTTCAGAATGGTCCCAATTGGCTTAAGTATGGTCATATAAAGATTTTTTCTTCAAGTTCGGATTGATCTACGTGAAAGAAGTTATCTTCGTCTCGTCTAGTTCAGCAATAAAGGGTAACTTTATAAGCGTTCTTGTGATTTACTCGGGATTGCGTTTAGTTAATCATTTTTAGTAAATTAGCTAAACATCGATCATGCTGCCAATGATTTCACTTATGTGGTCCACAAATGAAGGCATTTTTATGTTAATAACTCTCTTACTGACGCACACAACGTTATTGAGGAAAAACACTTAATTGAAATATAGCAAAATATAAGCTGAGAGCTTGCTTCAAATTTAGAGGGTTTTAGAAAGTAGCTTACCATATAAATGCTTGTCAAAATAATCTTGTATAAATTGTGTTTTAGGTATATTATTTATGGGATATTAGTAATGATACTATCAAATGTAATATATTAATTTGAAAATATTACCTTGTGATCTTAAAATTACTAATAGTTTATTGACGTCTGTTGTACAGGAAATATTTGGTACTATTGGATTATTAACCAATTGAGTTTGTTTCCCAAACTTGTGTTGCTGGTAATTGGAAAAAATAAAATTCCATGAGACAAGAAGTTTCTAATTTATTTTCTCGTTGGGATTTTTATAAATATATATATGGAAGGCTTCTGCTGAATAATGTAAGAATCTTTTTTTACATGATAGTTCTACAAACGTCTGAATTCAATTTTTTGTAGAGGCATGTGCTGCCTGTATTTTTGTTCTATTTGTTGATTAAAATGAAGAAATAGCCATTCTTATATAAATGAGAGAATTACGGATTTACAATTCAAAGAATGTAAATATTTTAAACTCTGAGTTAATCGCATGTTGCATTGGAGCAAGATTGGCAAATTATTTACACAATATTCTACCAGATCTCTCAAGAAGGGGAATTACAATTTGGACTGATTCATTTAATGATCTTTGGTGAATAAAAAACATTAATTTATCATGTAAATACTAAGCAAAGCATTATTATGCATATGCAATGCATTATATAAACAAAGCAATCATTTAAGCATTATAGTCCATTTTTGTCACTGACCAAGTGGACAAAATTAAACAATTGTCTCGCTTACAATCATGAAGTTTCGTGAAAGGAAATATTAACTCGTCAGATGTATTATCAAGAGGTTACTCTCCAAAACAAGTACAAAAATCCGAACTAGACTATGTGCTAAGGGAACCGGGACGTCCTCGATGAAGCAAAACGAGCAAAATTTGACTTTACGAAAGAACATTATTTTCAAAAACAGAAAGACTTCATAAATAAAAAAAATTATGTCATACAACCTATATACTTTTCTCAACATACTACAACATAAAATTATTAAATTTTAAAAATATTTTAAGAAATATAAGGATTTGAAAAAGTACACACCAAAAGGAACTTTCGTATACATGGTGTTCATTAGGTACATGTATCTTTATTTTTATAACATATAACACCACAAAACATGCTGTTTTAGTTACAAAATTGTACGTTTATTTAAATGCAATAAATATTTTTATACTACCTTGTTCAGAATTTTTTTTAAAAAAAATTGAATTATGACTTTTTGAAATTTTGATAAAAATGTCTTTTTTTTTTTACAAATTCAACAATAAAAGTAAAAATACAAACATTTCAGGAAGGAAATTAGAAGCATTAAATGCATTATCATGATACAAAAGTTCATACCAAGTTTCAAAAAAATATAATAAATAGATTTTTCTACACATGTACCTAAAAACTGAAAAAACACGTTTTGAGAAAAATGGAAAAAACTAAATAAAATCGTACACTTACCTAAAATTTGACTTTTAGAACATTCCAGCACTGTACTCATCTTGCATAGACTCTTCTAAGGCATCCTTCTTCCTTTTAATTTGCCTTTTAGTTGTCCTGGCTTCTTTGGTAGCTTTTTGGATACTCATCTCGGCTTCACAAATTCTGACGTAGTCAATTTTACGAAGGCCTTCACAAGTATTGATACCTGGATTTATTTGCAGTGCTTTTAATACTTCTGTTCTTGCGTATGCACCTTCATTGAAACATATAACTGCGTCGATAACACCCATTTGCAAAGTTTTTTTGCTCACAAATGGGTTTTTTGGCACACGATTCCACACACAGTTATTAAAGCTTTCGTTGGGGTTTTGAGTTCGGCCATGCAGACATTTTAATAAAAGTTCTTTCGCAGTTAAATCTCTAAATATTTTTTTAATTTTAAGAAGAACTGCTTCTGGGAGGGAATGTTTGTGGGTGTACTTTTCACCAGATACAAGGCTTTTGTTGTACCCGCACCAACTTTCTTCTCCCATAGGGCACAAACCATGTTGTGGATTTTTATCTGTCGACAGTTTATGGAAATATATTGCCCAGATGGATTTGGACATATCTGCGACTGATTTCCCAACATTTCTTCTTATGGCTAGGCCATAGTATTTTTGCAGCAAAAGAATTTCTGCATCTGTCAGCCTTCCTCGTCCAGATATTGCTTTATTGTCTGACAGCTTGGTGGATTTTAAACTGTTCTTTAGAGCTCTCAGTCTTGATCCCATCCTTTTTTGGACGTGGCCGATGCACTCCAATTTTTCAATCGGAACATCATCACCGTATATGTTGGACTCTTGAACCCTAAGAAACCCCTTGGAATCTCCATCTCCAAGGTACTGAACATACCGAACATCGTAATTTGGTACTGAGCGATTGAAAATCCGCAATGCTCCTTCACTCTCCATTCCCGCACTAAATCCATGATAGTTTGCCTGGCAATTATCACAGGTTTTGTTTTTGTTCTTACATTCAAAACAATATTTTGATAGGCACTCAAAATCAACAACTTTTCCGTTATCGAGAGAAGTTGCCGTTACAACGCCATTTTTTGACGTGTGTCCTCTTTTTTGCCAGGTCCCATCAAGAGCAATTGCTACGTCCTTATTGTTTTCGTTTGCAATAACAGCTTCATTAACGCTGCTAACCATTGAACGTGATGAAGCAGTTTCCAACGCATTAAAAATTGGCGTATACAGTCTTTTTCAAATTTAGCTGGTGGAGGAGGCAAGTTCATCAGCGCACAAAATGTCTGAGCTGCACTTTTTCCAATTCCAATGCATCTCATACCATAAACAAACCTCAAATTTACTTCATATCCTGCTGGCACAGAATTTGAAGTCATTGAGCCATGACTAGAGTCACAATACTTGCAAGCTGCTGATATACTGCTAGCAAGTCCTCTGCGACTACTTTTATTTTCAGCAACATCAAAGCAGAAAGATCTATCACAATATCTGCATTTTGCAATATTGTTGAAAATATCATTAAGCATATTTAAGTCAATAATAATAAACCTGCTTTGAGATTCAGCTGAAAAGTTATCTTCATAGTCAAAATATCCTTTACTCTTCTCAATCTTTTTTTTGGAAGAGCTGACATCACATTTTTCACTCACTACACATTCTGAAGTTTTTTTACGAATTAGACGACGTTTCTGATGTCCAAATTTCTTTGCTCGAGGCATTTCAAATATTTAAAATACTTACAAATCACAAACAAACAGAAAGTAAACAACAAAAACTAAGCAGTGAAAATATGAAGTTTGTAACTCACGTGTTTGTATCTCAAGCACAAGAAAACAACATTCTTTAAATTTCGCACAGCTTGTGTTATAAACAAGATTGAGTTGAGTAGTTTTATTCCTTCTCAAACCACAAGAATAAAATAAATATATCCAGATCAAGTGATATTAAAATACCAATCTACAATCTACATAAAAGCATGTTTCGGTTACTGAAAGATGGGCGTGGCAGTTGATGTACGATAACGTAAACAACAGGTGTGGCAGCTGTTGTTTACATTTTAAAACCGCAATTACTCAGATATTAAGCTTTAAACTTATACATGTTATACATTTTTGGAATCAGCATTAACTCTACTTTTTTTTAAGATGAAAATTGAAAAATCGATTTTTTGAAGGTTTATCACGTCTCGGTTCCCTTAACTCTGAATTCTGCCCATTAAA